AATAAGCCTATCATGGCTTTGCTGGACTCGGGAAGTCTGATTACTTAGTTAAAGCTGAGATGGTTGAAACTGTGAACTTGCAAGATGGAAAAATTGTAGTGATATGTATACATGTCTGCCTCATGGTCTGTGTAGGCATCTATGAGGTCATTATTTGCGGTACACATTTCCCCTAGTTTGTTCTCGATATGGCGGATACGTTTTTCTTGTTTTTGAACCGTATTTTAGATTTGAGATACTGATGCTGTCAGGTCATTATGTAGCGTTTGTTGTAGAGAAAGGAGCATTTTTTTCATGGAAATCTCAGTGATAGGTTGGTCAGAAGCAGGATAGGATTCGATTAAAGATGGAGCATTAGCTGTTAGAATAGTAGCTGAGGGAGAAGGTTGTCTGTCAGGGGGAGATCCTGTGTCCAGTCTGGGCCTGGATTTTGCTGGGCTGCTGGACGTAGGAGATGGAGGGGAGGGGGGGAGACTTACCCGGATATCCTGGATATAGTGATCCCTTCAGCCTGGGGTCTGGGTTGTATGCTGCCTGGTGGTCTGTGGTCTCCCATTGCTGTGCTGAGAGGCCGTTCTATGTGCAACTGGCACCATCTTGGCTGCAGGGGCTGATTGCAGGGAAGAAGCTGGTCATCTTTCCTGGATGACCCAGCGTTTTGCGGCGGCGGGTCATAGCCCATTCGGATGTCAGGGTTTCTGTCAGTTTTGCAGCAAAATTGACAGAAACACTGAAACATAGTGACTGAATGCCTCCTATGAATAGGAGCCTGAGGAAGTTCCCACAACCAGTGGAAGTAGCCACCCTTCTGCTAACACTGAGGCTACGCTAGAGTTTACTGACCTTAAGGTACACAACACAAGGAAAACTTTGGTATGGAGCAGAGAAAAGACCCTACCCTTAACAGGGCCTGGGAAAATATAGTGATGATTAATGATGTACCTGTCGAAACGGGACAGGCCCTGTTTTCCTTATTTCAGCAGCAATGAAGGTTTATTGTATCGTGTATACACAAAGAATGAAGAAATTGTTGAGCAGTTGGTGGTCCCTAAGCCATACAGAAAGGTGGTGTTGGAACTTGCCCATGGGCACTTGCTGGGAGGTCATTTAAACCACTAAAAGGGTGGTGCACAGGTTTTAATGGCTCAGGTACAGAAAGACATTAAGAATTTTTGTCAATCCTGTCCTGTGTGTCAAATCTCAGCACCCCTGCCCCACTTCTGAAGTCCTTTAGTGCCCTTACCCATTACTGAAGTGCCCTTTTAGAGGATTTCCATGGACCTTGTGGGTCCACTGCCCAAGTCTGCCCAGGGCCATCAATATATCCTCGTAATTATGGATTATGCTACCCATTACCCTGAGGCAGTTCCTTTGTGCACTACGTCTGCTAAAAACATAGCTAAAGAGTTGTTCATGGTGTTCAGTCGTGTTGGGGTCCCTAAGGAGGTACTTACAGACCGGGGCACCCCATTCAAGTCATGGATAACCAGAGAAATGTGCAAATTGTTTAAGGTGACGCATTTGCGAACCTCTCTGTACCACTCGCAAACGGATGGCTTGGTGGAACGCTTTAATAAAACATTAAAACAGATGTTGAAAAAGGTTGTTGATAAGGATGGGAAAAACTGGGACTTTCTTCTTCCAAACCTAACCTTTGCCATCTGGGAGGTTGCCCAGTCATCTACGGGGTACTCTCTATTTGAGTTGCTCTATGGGAGACACCCTAGGGTACTCTTAGACATTGCCAAGGAAACATGGGAAGGGGAGCAAACACTTCACAAAAGTGTCATTGAGCATATTGCGCAGATGCAGGACAGGATTGCAGCAATCATGCCTACAGTAAAAGAACACTTACTTCAAGCCCAAGCAGCCCAACAAAGTGCATATAACAGGGGTACCATATCCATGTTTTCTCACCTGGTGATAAGGTCCTGCTGTTAGTTCCCACGGTTGAAAGCAAGTTCCTGGCAAAGTGGCAGGGGCCCTTCAAAGTAATTGAAAGAGTCAGAGAGGTAAATTACAAGGCATATCAACCAGGTAAAAGAAGGCCCGAGCAGATATACCAAATAAAAAAGTTAAAACCCTGGAAAGATAGACTGGCTATGACTATGGTGGCCATTCCTATAACTCCTAGGGGTACAGAGTTCCCGCTGGTCGCTGAGGTCACAATTCCCGAAACCCTGTCTCCTATCCAAAAACAGGAAGCTAGAGCCTTCCTGATAAGAAACAAAGACAAATTTTCAGAATTGCCTGGTACAACTTCAGCAGTTTGGCATGATATTGTTACTGAAGCTGGGGTCCGTAACAAACTAAAACCCTACTGAATTCCTGAAGCTAGGAGAAAGGACATCAGGGATGAAGTCCAAAGGATACTGGAGTTAGAAGTAATTAAGGAATCCAATAGTGACTGGTCTAGTCCCATTGTATTGGCCCCAAAGGTGATAGCACCTGGAGGTTTTGTAATGACTTCAGGAAGCTGAATTCGGTGACAAAATTTGACACATGCCCAATGCCTAGAGTAGATGAGCTGATAGACAGACTCGGTAAGGCCCGCTATCTGACCACGTTAGACTTGACCGAAGGATATTGGCAAATCCCCCTGACTGATAGCGCCAGAGAAAAAAACACGTTTGTGACCCTGGAGGGTTCTTTTCAGTGTAAAAAGATGCCTTTTGGGTTGCAAAATGCCCCTGCGATCTTTCAGAGGGCCATGGACAGAACCCTAAGACCTCACCAACAATATGCAGCTGCCTATCTGGAAGACATTGTAATACATAGCACTGACTGGGAGTCTCACTTGACAAGGGAATGGTTTCTGGATACCCGGTGGCATAGTCAAGTATCACCAGTATGTGCTGATGGCCCTGGGCAGACTTTACTACTGGACCCAGATCCATGCCCATTCTTTCAAAAGGTACTTCAATTATGGGTAAAGGTACCAGTGGACTGCAAAAATGGGGCGAAGGTGCAGAATACTGACATTTTGGGCAAGACTCATAATACACTTTGACATCTGCATATAAGCCTGGCCAAAAGAATCTCTGGGTTATCCTCTCCTTAGTTTTCTCTACACCCAAGTGTCCACTCATTATATGCCCATGGGCTAAATCTAGTACCATCCGACGAAAGGGTTTGGGGGCCACTAACTGTTCAACCACCTCCTCCTCTTGCTTTACCACTTGATACAGCAAGTTATTTTTAAGAGCCATGTAGGGAAAAGACACCCCTACATCATTTTCAACTGGTTCCCCATCAATTATTTTAATGTTTTCTCGGGCTCTATTAAGTGTGGAATCTTTCAGCTGTTCCGTACAAAAATCCTCTTTTCTGACCTCTAGGTCAGGCACCACATTTTGTCTACTCTCATTAGAGCCAGAGATAATCTCTTGTTCCGTATCTTCAATGTCTGGGTTTGGATCCCACTCCTCCTTCTCCCCAGCCATTACAGAGAAAGGGAAAAGATCTACGCCTTCCTCGGACACACCAACAGTTTCCACTTCCACTTTGCAGTCAAAGGGGTCAGGAATGAGTTCAGGTGTTTCAGGTGTTTCCCCAGCAGGGGGAGTTCGATCCTCCTGACTCCTCTCCTTGTCCCATAACCTCCAGAAATGGGGAAAATCTCTCCCCACTATGGCTTCATGAAGCAGTGAGGGTACCACTCCCACTGAATGTGTCACAGTGCCCCAGGGGCACTGCGAATACATATATTCGTATCACCACAAATACAAATAACCCCAATAGTGCTAGGGTGTAACTTTGCGGAGTTTACCAAATCACTTTTGACTAAGGTCACAACACTACCAGAGTCTAGCAGAGCAGTTACTGCCTTTTCATCAATTGCAATCACACACATTTGCTTTTCCATGCGTTTCTGACATGCTGCAGTACATACCACCTGTGCAAAAAGAGACATGCGTTTTCCTGAATCAGCATTTTCACATTGCATAGGTTCATCATTTAAAGGACAGTTTGCAGCAATATGACCTAACGCATGACAACGATAACATTTTATATGTTCTGTACCCAGACCTCTAAACGGCCTCAGGGACCTTCCTGACCTATTTGGCCAGTCTCTAGGTCCTGAGCCCACAGTCTCATTGTCTGAAACAATAGTCGTGTCATTTTTCCCTGAGCCCTTGACCCCTGGAACAGTCTTACCAGATCCTCCGAATAGTTTTCCACTCCTAGCAACATTGGGGTACGGCTCAGATGAGTGCAACAAGTCCTCAGCGGCTGTATATCTCTCCACCAGGTCCACCAGCTCGTTTGTCAACTTAGGGTCTCCGTGGCCGACCCACTTCCTCAAAGTGGCAGGGAGCGCACGTAGATACCGGTCCATGACCACACGCTCCACAACCTGAGGGGCTGACAATACCTCTGGCTGGAGCCACTTCCTGGTGAGATGTATTAAGTCAAACATCTGGGAGCGGGGTGGCTTGTCAGTATTATAATGCCACTGATGCACCCGTTGAGCCCGGACTGCAATGGTGACGCCCAGGTGTGCAAGGACCTCAGCTTTCAGTTTCTCATAATCCTGTGCAGCATCTGGTTCCAGGTCATAATAGGCTTTTTGGGGTTCACCTGTCAAAAATGGTGAAAGCAGCCCCGCCCTTTGCTCTTTTTGCCATCCTTCCCAAACAGCAACTCTTTCAAAATTTGCGAGGTAGGCTTCCACATCATCTGCAGCAGGCGTCAATTTTTGCAAAAAATAGCTGGCCCGTGCCATTTTCTGTTCCACTGGCAGCAGATCTGCAGACTCTTTCTTTAATTCCAATAGGTGATGGGCCACCTCCTTAAGGAGCTCTCGGTCTGCTTGTTGGGCTACCGCAAACCGGCAATTCACTTCCTGTTGTGCTTGTTGGGCCTCCGCCAACTGGCGATTCGCCTCCTGTTGTGTTCGTTGAGCCTCCGCAAACTGGTGATTTGCCTCCTGCATTGGCCTCTGCGAACTGGCGATTGGTTTTTCTGCTGGGCTGCAGTGGCCTGCAGCAAGGCTCTTATCACTTCCTCAATCTTCCCACTTGCTCAGGAAGTTGCCCGCCAAATTCCACCAAACTGAGCAAATCATTGATGTCGATTTGAGACCAACCAGCCAAAGGCTGAGGCTGTACATGCCGAGAGGGTACATCGTTCAGATACGAAATCATCCCACCAAGACGTTCTCCTGATATGGCTGCAGTGTAACTTTTAAACAGGAACCTGGCTGTCTGCAGCATCATCACAGTGTTCTCCCCCTCATAGGTGCAGGCTGGGGTAAACGTGACATAGATGTCAGGGATTCCACTGCATCTTGAGTATCCATGCCCTCCACATGCCATCCGGCATTCCTTGATACCCGCACTGGAAACCCATGTAGTGAAGGCTTTCAGTCCCGCAGACAAGGCATGGAGCTCTGGTAATTCATTCAGGTTACCCTGCTGGATGTCTCCATTTATCCTTTGATATGTCTGGCTCATGTATAAACCTACAAAGTTGAATGCATAGGCCGTGGCCAGCAGAGGAAACAGCTTATACTGCTGGGTCTGGAAATTGAGGATTTGTGGCCCTGGATCCCCAACTATGATCTCAGACTGGTTTCGTACTGCGCTGTACCGAATTGCAATAGTGCAGGCCCGAGAAAGGCTTCTTGCCGAGTCCCCTACTATCATTGAGCGGATAAACACCATGGTACCATATGTCAGTTTATCTCTGAGTGGCTTTACATATGTTTCATCTGGTTCTACCTTAGCATATTTCATCAGCATGTTTTCTCTTGGTATTCGGAACTTGTTGAATGACAGGAAACCATTGTCAATCTCATCAAAACCAAACTTAGGCCCGATGTCCCCAACTGTTACTCCTGACAATGGTTCATGGGTGCCCATTTGGCAAAAAGGAATGATGAAGGCATGAAGCCCTTTACAGTCCCCCTGGGTATAGAGCTGTGCCAACACTACCGCATGATTTGATGTTTTTCCCAACCCTCCAGGCCACCACTTGATAGAGGACACAGTGGGGCTTTTCAGTATAAACTCCTGTGTAGATGGGTCATAGGTGGCTGTTGTCTCCAGTCCTCGGAGGTGGGTTCCATGTCCCATTTCAGTCTGAGCATATGTCCCAATGATCTCCAAGTTCCAGGCAGGCATGAAGAAATGGTCCTGCTGTTCGGGGGTGGCCTGGCTTAGCAGAGTGGGCAAGAACATGCCCAAGTGAAGATCAAGGGGCTCAGGGCGGCCCGATGTACAAAGCTCTTGAACCAACAGATCTCCTCAGGGTCAGATATGCCATGGTCTCTCATCTTCTTAACCATCTGAGAACTCTTCTTGATGGCCAGCTCATACCACTCACTGCAGGACAAGAAATTAGGGTCCTCATTCTGGAAGCTTAGGTCATTGATCACAAGACTCTCTATCTCCCTCGTCTTCTGGGTCCTCTCCGGACACCCATCCAGGATATTAGTGATGGTCTCCGGGCTGAAGGAGGCAGTGGCCCTCTCTCTGCTCAGGTCCGGGTTCATCTCTCCGCTCTCACCTCTGCCATAGTGGCCCAGAAAACCCGGAGTAGATTTCACATTAAACTTCCAAGTATGACCGAATGCGAGGTGACATATAGCGTCCATCGATCACCTCACCATTCAAACTGTCACAATATATATATATATATATATATATATTAAACCAAATGAACAAGATCATAAACTGATGGTGGAACTACTCATAACTGATTGCATTTTTAAAGCCAAAACTAGAACAGGGAGGGGTTAACACGTTTGTGTATCATTGTAGACATTCCCATGCCCTTCTTGTCCCTTAGGCTCAACAAGACACAAGAACGAGAAAATATCTTTAAAATCAGAGAAACCATCTCCGACAATTTAAAAGTCATCTTTCAGTACAGATTACAATGGTAGCCAAAACAAACAAAAAGAGTTAATCTCCCTTGCAGCGGCACCGACAATAAATACCTGATAGGAGTGCAAACAATTACTTATTCTGTACAAAACTAAAAAAGATACACTTATAATAACTTAGAACTATCTGATGGGGGTATATTATTTCATATAGCAATAGTTAAAATATAGCTCTACATACGGTACTACACATCAACTGTGTAGAGTCCACAATTATTCTATGCACTCCTCTGTCCTCCCTGCAGCTTCTCATTAGCCAACTTTCTAATTTTTTATTTTAAATACTCATTACAGTAGCAATAAAACCAGATAAATACATTGCAAGAGTTTTGACAAAGCAGATCCCTAAAGAGAGTTGATTCAAACTAAAGTAAGTTGGAATGTTAATGGAAGGATCTGAGCTTGTCTGGGCTATAGCAATAGATTTATATAATCTTCAGAAAACTGATTGTTATTCTTGAATTGCATAAATCTCTGCATTTGGTCAACACTGTCTGTGTGCTATATAATCCCATGTTCAGTTCCAGTCTTGTAATGAGAAATAAACTACTGAAAAAAGCAGTAAGCCAATGTAATGTGTAGGAAGTGAGACTGCTGGTGATGTGACGTACGCAGACAGTATACAGAATGTCCTGAGTAATTCTATTATTGCAAAGATGTGACAACTAAAATTTATTTAAAGATTTAGAAAATTGTAGTATGATGCACACTGAAATGGAAAGGTAATGTTTAACCCATATCATTATATTACTGTCCTGGAAACAATCACTTTCATGTTTAGAATATAATTGCGAGGCATCCAGAAGGTCTTGATTTCTCTGTAGATGTTTCAAGAAGAAGCACAATTTGTTTGATTGCATCAGATTCCTTAGATGCCTGAAGATTTTTGTTGAACATAAGCAGCAGAAGTCTAAAACTTTAAGGCAGTTATTTAATTAACCGGCATTCACAGTAGGGTATTTAGGAACAGAAAAGACACAGAAATGGGGGTGGGGGACAAAAAAAAAGAAGGAAGAAGAGGACAAGTAAGCACCAAGGTAATATGCTTACTGGTAAAATGTGTTCATTTTGTGTTTAAACCAAAAGTAAAAACTCAGTTACCTATAGGGTCTAGCACGAGATACCAATCAGCATGCAGCAAAAGAGGAATAAGGCATAAACACATACGCCTGGTTTATCAAAACATTTTGCCCTCATTTACCAAGTCAGTTAAAGCAATATTAAGCCCCCCACCCCCCCAAAAAAATGAATGATATATTGCAGCTTACCAACTCTTACATGTGATGGGTGCATTAGTTTTCTGTTTTAGGCTTTTTTATTTATTTTCACCTGTTGATCAGGCAAGTAAGTGTTATTTTTCAACCTCCTTTAACCACTTGACTTCCATATGGTTTTACCCCCTTCATGTCCAGGGCATATTTGCTATTCAGCACTGTACTTCTTTAACTGGCAATTGCGTGGCCATGCAACACCGTGTGCAATTGAAATTTATATCATTTTTTCACATGAATTGAGCTTTCTTATGGTGGTATTTGATCATCACTGGGTTTTTTTTTATTACATAAACAAAAAAAGACCAACATTTTTCTACTTTCTGTTATAAGATATATCCAAAAGACATAACTATGGAGTATATAAAGGAATTTACGCATCTATGATGCAATTTAGGCAGCTATACACAGCTATACTGGTAATGGTGGGGATTAGCAACTTATTTTGGGACTGTGACAGTGTGGAAGGCAATCTGGCACTATCATACCCTCGCTAGGAGGGACACTAACTGACACTACTACAGTAATCAGATATAATACTGTACACTGTCACTGTAATAATGACACTGCCTGGGAAAGGGTTAATTTCTAGGAGTAATCATAGGGTTAACTATGTGCTTAACAAGCATAATGTGTGTAATATGTGCTGCTTTTACTAACAGATCTGGCTGTTTTTTTCTCCCTGCTTGGTAGGGAGAAGCAACAGCCAGATCCCTGCTCTATGAACAGTGTCCTGTGTGTTTGTAAACACAGGCCTCTTCTGTGATTGCACATAGCCGATCAGTAGGTCTCACCCATAAATCATTGGCTGAAACCTGTGACAACCACAGCGTGGGTCAGCAGGGGGCGTGTCTGAAACCTAGAAGCAAACTCATGTTTATTTTACGTTGCTGAGCCTGCAGCTGCCGCTTTGTCAGTAAATCCTCTGTGACCTAGTGGCAAGTGGTTAAAAGACCAATGTGTCCAGCAAATGATGCAGTTAGAGGGTTGAGACAAACTATTTAACATGACTAGGGTCAATTTAACATTTGACTAGGGTTCGTATGTAGCACTACCCCCTTAGGGGCCGCTATTTGAATTGGGTCCCCCTATGCGCTGCACAGCCAGGCAGCATGCATATCCCACACTTTGCACACTGGAATCAGTAAACAGTCCATGAGCTTGGTTTTTGTGATTTTATTGAGGGGTTAAACTTGGATGGCTCTAGGGGTATATGGGATGCTTGAGGAACCATAGAACTTGAGGATAACTCCTTAACAACTATGTACAAAGGTTCAGATTAGCAACAGTCTTTTCAGCACCAAAGGCTCTTAAGTGTACCTCCTCAGACCCTGGATGATTCTTCCACTTCACCTGCCTGGGGATATCCCTGAGCAAGGAGCCTAAAGAGCTGTTAATTTAGAACAGTTCCAGAGGACAGCTAGTTGGGTATTGCACCTGACCACCCTCTCCCCTTATCTTGCCCAGGTGGTGTAAGAGTACGAACACTGTCCTCTCCTGTTAGCTTAGTGGGTCGGTAGCTGCCTTTAGGCCTTACACTGCAATGGCTCCTTCCTTACTACCCAGGCTGTCCTCCCTTGGAGACATTGAGGCAGCGGAGATCCTCTTCTCCAGCAACCTGCCTGTAGGTTGGCTCCCCTCCCTGGGGCTCCCTCCCATGCTCCACACTCCAGCCTTCCTCAGTCTATCTTCTGCCCAACACTGGCCACCTCCCCCTGGCTCTTCCACATTTGAGGGTTGCCCTAATCACCATGTCCATCCTCCTGCCAGGGCATTGGCCAAGGTCCTTCAAACATGCAGATCTGGACCTCCTCCCCTCCTCCACCCCCTCAGCTCTCAGGTTTCTGGAGAGGTGGAAGGGCTCAAGACGTCTAACCTGTTAGAGCCCCCCCAGCCTGTCCTAAGGTAAACTGACTACCCCACTCCCAGGCTGACTCATCCAAGGCTGCTATTCAGCCTCTGACTAATAAAAATCTTGTCTGGCTAAATCTGGAGGGTGTTACACTTACATTGGTTAGCTTTTATTCATTTATGTAAAACCTTTATCCCAAAAGGATGAAAAACATAGCTGTAACAGCATAGAACATGTTATCTGGAGTTTGGCTTTAATTTGTCAGTCAAGTCCATTTAAATCTGTTAGTGCATCTAACACTACCCTCTCTGCAGACTGACAATGTTGCTGACCAAAGGTGTCTCTGTTTCTCTGTCCGGAGTGGAGACACCCTAAGAGAGGTAGTGTGTTACTGGCCAGATCCCCAGGCTGACTGATAAGGGATGAGTAATAATGATCAGTCATTTATATGTCTGTGTAAATTTTAGCTTGAGTTCTTGAGTTTGTAAACATCTATCTCTTACAACACATGCTAAAGACATCTGCGAAGTGAAATTCAGCACTCCACTTGCTGGCTAAATAAAATACTTCAAAATATTTATGTGCAATAAAGTGGTGGTTTTGGGTCACTCCAACGTGTTTAATAATGAGATTTAGGTATCTGCCTCTGGGCTCCATTCCTGTTTAGTGCTAGTTAGTCAAGTCCTAGTTAAACTCTCCCACTTCTGCCATGTTCACTGAGTCTGTGTAAGGTATTTGCAGAACTGAAACGACCTTGTCTATTTCGGTGGTTCCTTCCTTTTTTGGAGTTTGATTCCATCTACTCACCACCGGTCTGGGTCCTGGAGCGCAGGAGATACCGCATTTTGTTCATTGTTAAGGTATTTGCAGAGACAGGTATTACAAAAGTCATTGTCTTCATACACTTAAAAATACTGGAAAACCATCCTATGTACTACTATTAGCTGAAGTAAAACTGTGTTGGATTCAACTTCTGTGCCTTACTGAAGAGTTAGGGTGCCTGTTCATGGTGCAAAGTCAGCATACTGGACAGACTGGGTCTAAAAAGGTATGTCAATGCATAAAGCAGCATTTGAAACAGAACAATTTTCCTCACCTAAAGTGACCTCATCACCACATCATCCTTGCAAACACATTATATAATGTAAACCAAAGTAAAGGATAATTCAC